TTTCTATTATTTATTTTTCATTGTCTTTCCTATTCTAGGATTCATGTAAGGGTTGTTTATACATAATATGATTCCGCATTATTTTGAGTTACAACAAGGACAAATCACATTATGATTATACAAGAAAAGATTTCCACCTTTGCTACTATGCTTGCTCCACTAACCACTGGATAGAGACTATCAGCTTTCTTCGCCACAAGAAATTTTATACCTGGGAATAATTCAGACAACTTGATGCTATACTTTTCGGCATCTCCAACAGTATCTACAAATACCTTTATAAACAAATAGAAAAAATAAAAAAATAATAACTCCATCATATATTAGAAAAATATCTAAAGCAATCATAAACCAAGGAAAAAATACATTGGATAGGATTCATAGGACCCAACCAAAAGAGCATAACGCTAGGAAAGATATTTACTTCACTCAGAAGAACTCCCATGCCAAGAACCCTTTTGACAAGGCCAATAGCTGAGTTATGTGATATTTCATTCAAATTAATCTTCTCCCTGAGCCATCAAGGAATCAAATTATAAAATTTTCCAATTAAGGGTTTATGGTTAGAAGGTCTTCACCTTTTCAGCATCTTAGCTGATAATTCCTTTGGACTTATCACATCAACTTCCCACCCAATAGAGGTATCAGCCTTTAAGTTCTCAAACAGTTCTTCCCTCTTTTCCTCTTTCAATGTTTTAGAGTCTGCAATGCAAAAATAAAAAATTGGCATCTGACTTAGGCAACTTAATTAATGAAATAATTTATTTGACTTAATCTAACATGTTTATGTTGGCCAATGGGTATAATAGAAAATTATCTCAACTCTAGAGAACAACTACATCGATATCAAGACTCTTTTCTTTCCTAAACTGAGTTGTTAAAAAAGAAATCAATGTCTTGTAGAAATGATTGATAACAAATATTAGAACTTTTATACCAATTGATAAAATTTCGGAGATAATTGACTAAATGAATATTTCAACTAGTATTATTGCACCATGTATACTTTTTTCAACTTACATAATGATTTGATAGTATTTACAATATAATAATTTATCTCATCTAATGCTCTATACGAAGACTTGGGTTTTTGGAGAAATACCGACGTGAGTATAGTACAATAATGCAAGAGGCTGGCCATTCATGTTGCTAGAGAACTAATCTTTATGAATTTGATAGGAAAAATCTAAACATGACTGGCCATCCGCAACTTTCAAAAAACAACGCCTATGATTGGATCTAGTAGAATCTATGATTTCTTCTGTTAACAAAATTAAAAAAGAAAAGCAATTCCATTTGGCTTCATGATAACAAAGGAAATGCTTAAAAGTCTAGAAGATAAATCAATCTTTACTGGCTAGGCATGGAAAAAGGTATTTTGATAGATATAACAATAAAGATAAAAGCGTGCTAAATCAGATTCATAGATGAAAAATTAATTTTAAAACCTGCGAAATTGAGGGTCACCAACGTATTTTGGTAAGAGAGTGGACAGTACAAACATCCATAAACCATTGGACCTGCACCATGGGAGATCATGTAAATATAACTCACAATTAAGCTAATGTCCCAAGAGCAAGTAGAAAATATTCATAGTAAAAATAAAAAGTGAAACCGGCTAAAGAGGGAAAAAGAGGAAACCTAAAACCGGGCCTCTTCCTGCTTCATCGATCCCCATGATGCATGGTTTTGATGCCCATTTCGGTAAGGTAGATGATTTCATCTTCCTTGATCACAGCTACCTTGATGACACTCCCAGAGAAACAATACAGTTGAAGTAAATCCTTCAAATTTCCTGTCAAAACAATGTGGAGAAATTGAGAAAATAAATATAAGTCATCCCATCATGCCCTAAAAATGGTGAAATTACAAGTGTGAGCCTTTCCCTTCTTTTGCCTTCATAGTTTCAAAATCATCATGTTGATGTAGATTAGTAACTGAAAATTTGAAGTTTGAATGCTTTAATAGTTGGAAAATTTTAGTTATAGTTATTTAGAATTTATGCATTTTTATAATGCAATGCAAATGCTTTGCTTTATATTTAAAGGTATTCGAAGTTTGAATGCTTTAATAGTTGGAAAATTTTGGTTATAGTTATTTAGAATTTATGCATTTTTATAAGGCAATGCAAATGCTTTGCTTTATATTTAAAGGTATTTGGTTATCCATTTTAATTAAGATATAATAGAAAGCTGCAATGTTAAATACTATCAAACAATAAATAAGGGGACAATATCCCAGCAACAACAGCAACAAACCTTTATCCCACCAAGTGGGCTCCACCACATGAATCATTTTTCTCCACAGTGTTATGTTGAGTGTCATATTTTTATTTAATTCTAATAAATTAAAATCATTTTTTATAAAACATGCACAAGTTTTACATGCACAAGTCTTATTAGGTCTACCTCTACCTTTCTTAACATAAGTCGAATCTAAAACATCTACTCTCCTAACCGGATCATCAAATGGTCGACGTTTAATGTGATCAAACCATCTAAGACTATTTTCTCTAATCTTGTATGCTGGTGCTACACCAATCCCGCCATGGATACATTTATTTTGCATTGTTATCTTTAACAATCAAGCCACTTATCCATCTAAGCATTCTCATGTCAGCAACATTTAACTTAGTTTTATGTTTCTCTTTTATAGGCCAACATTTTGTGTCATAAAACATTGTATGTTTCACCACCATCTTATAATATTTTCCTTCAAGTCTAAGTGGTCTTTTCTATCACACAATAGACCCGATGTATTCCTCCACTTCAACTATCAAACTTGAATTCTATTAATAACATCACCGTTTATATCACCATCACATTGAACAATAGACCCTAGATATCTAAAATATATACTCCTTTTATTGATTTGACCACCTATTATTACAACTCTACCACTAGAGTTGCTACTACTAAAGTTACATTCCATGTATTCAGTTTTTACTAAAGTTACATTCCACGTATTCAGTTTTAGATCTACTCAAACAAAGGCTTTTAGGCTCTAATGTAGACCTCCATAATTCAAATTTATCGTGAACTCTTTCTCTAGTCTTATCCACAAGATGGATGTCATCAGCAAAAAGCAAACACCAAGTTACATCCTCATACAAATATCTAGTAAGTGCATCCATAACTAAAGCAAAAAGGTATGGGCTTATATTTGATCCCTGATGTAATCCAATTTTGGTATCCCATTTGGAAAAAAATAATTGAATTTTCTAGGATTTGATAAATATTAGCTCAACTTCAATATTTTTTAAATTTTGGTCGAACTTAGATTTCAAACATTAGTTTTAGCAAGATTACTATATCTTCTTAAATCCTCAAGTCTTCTGATTTGCAATTAGATAGCCAAAGATTTTATTACAATTAAGGGGATGTTTGGTAGCTGGTTTTAAGCAAGATTTATAAAAGATTTAGGCTAAATTCTGCCAAACAGAAAAATGCACCTCCATAAATCCTAAGATTCGGTAAGTCCCAAAATGACGTCGATTCACTGCAGATGCAGGATATAGTAAATTCCGCAGTTCATTGGCTTTAACAAGATTTAGAAAAACTAAAGGAAGTCTTGCGTGCGGCATCCTTGTCGTATTCCACATCTCGTTCACAGAACTTCTTTTTTCTTCATCAGTGTTGCCAACAATTTGTCTCCTACAATCCTCTCATCTTCAGCTAGGGTTTCTCATCACGATACCAAAATAAGTTTTGTGTCCCCTTTGTTTCATAGTTCATTGGCTTTGACTGATAAATTATTTCGACATGTTTATTTTTGTTGCTAGAAATTAAGATTTTAGATTTCATTTTATCAGTCATTTGATTGAATTTTT